AATATGATATATAAACTGTTCAGAGGGGCATGGATTGGGAGATTACTTGAGAGAATTCATGCAGGAGAAGCAACCTAAACCAAGATAGTGGTAGTAAAAAAATGAAAAGCACAGATTTTTTTATTTTAATTTTTTTATTCACCTGTTGAGCTATGATACATATTAAGAACTCAAAATAATTCTTGGCGTATAGTAAATGCTCAATAAATACTATTTTTTCAAATAAATAGCTATTTATCTGAAAACCCATTATCAATACAGGTTTCCCATCAACATTTATTTGGCATCCTGTTAATTTCTGGTTTATCGCATTTTATTATTTCTATAGTACAAGTTCCATCGGGGCAAGGTCCTTGCTTCAAACATCATCACATACCCATGGCCTAGCGCAAAACAGCACTCAAATACATTCACTGAATAATTATACCAGATCGATAAAGTTCAAAGACGCAGCATATACAGGGGGATCTGTATAGTATCTGGTGATGGGGAGGATGATTGTAAACATTAATAACAAAGAATAAAGGGGAATGAGCAAGTTAAATGTGTTCTGTGGAAGAGAAGTGCAGGCATGTGAGATGAACTGAATAGTGGATGTATTAAATTCGAAATAGAAAAATTAAACAGGAAGTTAGTAATATGTCTGAGATATCTGGAAGCCAAAGATACGAAAGTGGTTACGAACATGGCCTCTAAAGCCAATCTGTTCAGATTTAAATGCCACTTCTGCCTCCTGGTTGCACTATCTTGGACAGATAATGACTTAACATCTAGGTTCCAACATTCTAGTGTCAAAAACATTAATAAAAATGAAAAAGAAAAAAACACACACATCAACAAAAGCAGTCATGTCAACCTTACTGAGTTTGTGGGGGTTTTTTTAGGATTAAATTAATAAATACTCAGGCATCAAAATAAAACTTAGTAAACAATAAATAATAAATGTGAGGTTTTAAAATAGCAAGTGATAGCTAAACATCTGATTTCAAATGAAATATACAGTGAAAACAAGAAAATCAAAACCCCAGGTAATAACAACGGGGAACAAAGAGAAAACACGTGAAGAAAAGTGATTAAGTGGACCAAAGGGAAAATAGGGAATTAGAGAGTTCAACCAAAAAGGATTTTCAATAGAAGAAAACACTGGTTAGGTACACATGGTCTATAGGAAGGCCACAGGATTTGGCAATGTGAAGGTCAACCAACAACAGAAAGAGAAGAGCAGTCTACAGAGTGTTCAGATGGGTATTATGGAACGAGTACAGCAAAAAGGATGATTATAAAGCAGACAAAAAGAAACAGGGAGAATGACATAAGGTTGTAGACTCAATCCTATCAAATAAAATATTTTTTACTCTATTATCACCATCATTGAAAACAGGATACTGCCTAACAGCAAAATTTATGAAGGCTAAAATTCTCGGAATAAAGGAAGCACATTTATGCAAAACCACTATACTTCCCTTATTATTTGTAATTTCATAGTAAAATCATAAAAATCTTATAAGAGAAAAGGCACCAGAATCTGCAAAATATCATTCTTGACTACTGTAGGAATATGCTAACAATAAAAGGAAAACAGGGTGCAGGAGAAACAAAGTTCTCACACCTTAACAATAAAGAAATCTGTTTACATGTAAGCGTAATATCTCCCATAAGGTAAGATTGTCAGGTGGCAGTGTCTGTCATGTTATGACAAATACCGTATGCCAGAGTGTGCAAACACAAACACTAATTAAAATTTTTATATTTGCTGGAGAATCAGTTATTTTAGCAGTCCATCGCCTTACCCACTCGGCCACCTCGTCCCTAAGAATCCGTTATTTTAGAATACAAATTCCTAGACTATATTTTCTATCTATTATCTAATGTCATGTTTTTATAGTCGCCAAACAAGCATTTTGTATATACCATAAGTACATTTTTATTACATACCAACTACAGAAAAAATATATAAGGATATGTTTACAGTACAAACAAACTACACTTCATACATCATGGGGGCTCAAGAAAACTTTGCTGAAACTTACTGAAGTGGTATATGCCACAGAATGACAGACAAAGAATTACAGGGCAAATTCCATTTCTATGAAAAATGCTAAGATGACCATATAACACTGTGGTTACAAGAGTGATAACAGGAACACAGGCACTGAATTCAGACAAACCTGGGTTCAAATATCGCCTACAATACTTTATAGCTGGATGACCTTAAGTAACTTAACCTAAATTTGTCTCCTCATTTGTATACTAGGAATGATACCTACATAAGTTTGCAATGCTGTGTAGTGGCAGTTTTAATTTTTATATAACATGAATTGCTAAAATCTTGCAAAGCCAACTTTTTCCAAGTCCTAGACCAAATCTCTGGAGCATTAGGCGGGGGCCTGCATATTATTTAAAGTTTTACAAGTGATTCTGACTAGCACTCTCATTCAGGAATCACTGTCCCAGAGCCTTATTAACAAATGTTAAAATACCTCACTCCAAGTTAAGGAACCCACACAAAGATAAAGAAGAGCTTTAAGACATGATCCTCTGGTTAAAGTTATCAAAACAGACCTTTACCCCAAATCCCTTTTACAGAGGAAAAAAAAGAAAAAAAACCACACACTACAAAGTTCCCATTTAAAATCCTTTCCAAAGCATGGAACACATAATTCCATACTGAAATTTTACATCAAAATTAGGTATAACTTAGCCTTTTCATATTCATTATTGAATAGGTTTGTACACGTAGATTAACAGTATACCCAAGACACTACATATTATGTAAGCTGTCTTGTTATCTTTCTTAAAAATAAGTTTAAGTTTACAGTTTAAATCCATTGATGTGTCACTTAAACCCTCCCAATAAATTTTTATTCAATACAAACATTTTAAAGTGTATACAAGAAGTTTAACTAAAGACTGAGTACACCTAAAGCAATTTCAACATATCAGAAGCAAACCTGAAACGCTCTTAAGTAACCCAATACATTTTAGAGAAACGTATGGAACAAATGCATATAAATACAATCATGAACATTTTATTCTAAAAAAATTAGTATGAATCAATGAAAATCCCTGGAAAAATTTAAGAATCTAGAAACACTGTAGAACTTTTTCAAAATAAAGCAGCTTAGAATTGCTATATCAAAATATACCAATAGTAGATCAACTGAAAGCAAGCAAACAAGTAAAAGGAATCTTCCTTTAAAGACTTTTCTGTTACTGTCAAGGAGAGGAAAACTAGATGAGAAAGCAAGGACTAGGACAGACACTACAGACCTCATTAATGTATCTACTTGACTAATTTGGACAAGACAGTTTCTGCTACTTACATTATTGAAGCCTATGAATGACTACTGTAATTACTAAGTTTAAAAGTGGTAGAATCTAAGCTTTCGTACAACAGTACAAAGGTCATAACACTATTTCAAACTGGTAAAGTATTATTTAGTGAGCCCAAGCTTCCGTGCATTTGTAAAAACAATTATTAAAAATAAATGCCTATCTTCACTCACACAAAATGTTAAGATTTGCAACATGGTGTGACATAAAGTTGTTTATCAGCAGAACCCTATAAATCCCATGTATTTTAAAGCAGACTATACATACACAAGTTAAAAGAAAAAAGAGACAATTTTGACAAAACTTTTTGAAAGTTATGTTTTTAAAAGCACAACAATATATCAAAGCACAAATCTAAAACAATGAATTGACTAAAAGGTGTTAATTTATACTTTTTGCAAAACTTGATGAAGTGTCAAAATATGTAACTATTCTTTTTAAAAGTTTAACTTTACCTACATTGTAGAGTCAAAGTTTACTTGTTCAAAATCAAACTGAAAAGATCTATCTTTGAGTACACCCTAAATTAATCCAAAATCCCTTAGTTAAATTTTCCCAACTATTCACCATAGGCATAAATGCCATATATGTCAGCGAACAATACTGCTGACATTCTAAATAAATATATACACATATATATATGTGTGTGTGTATATTTATATATATCAATCTGAAGAACAGGTGCAATACTATTTAGATGCATGCCTTTTTTTTAAGCCTAAATTTGACCTGGAAAGGATTTAAAAATAAACACAAATACCCAAAAATGTTGAACAAGTCTTTTAAAAAGATGTAGCCATTCTGTAATCCAAAACGTGAACACGTTAACTACCGACATCTTCCAAAAGTTAGGTAAACCAGCCCATCAAATTTTCACCCGAAGAGGATCGACTCAGACTTAATTATGAGGGGTCTTTAAGATATTTAACTTTGCTTCACCACTGTGAATAACGTGACAAAAGAACATTTTACTTCCAGCTAATAATAAACTTTTTTTCAGTCCTTTCACAAAGACAACACAGATAGCCTGGTTTGGCTTTTTATGGGTTAAAAAAAAAAAAAAAAGGAGGGGGGATGGAGGAGAGGAAGGCCAGATGAAGGATACCTTAAAAAATTTTCAACACAGGCATACCTCGTTTTATTGCGCTTCGCTTTACCGCGCTTCACAGAACTGCGGTTTTTTTTACAAATTGAAGGCAAGACCCTCCAACAGCAAAAATATTGCCACTCGCTTCACTGTGGTGGTCTGGAACCGAACCCTCAGTATCTCCAAGGTATGCCCGTATGGAAAAGGCTTGATGAGTCAGTCCTTAAACTAAAGAAGAACTGAAGGGATCTAAGTGCATAGGGCAGCATCTCAGGTGAAGGTACTTAAAGTTGGCGGTAGGAAATGAAAACTTCACAGGTCAGCGGCAAGCCATTGTGCTTGGTAGCAGCCCTGGAAAGAAGCGTGGTTGTCAAGGGGCAAGTGCGCACCAACTCCAGGGGAGGGGGCCAGACTTGCTAAATCGGAAAGGGGGGTGATCCGGGAAAAGGTGGTAAAATGCCTTTCTTCTTGGGTCCTCCATCTCAAGAGACAAAACAAAGCAAGCTCACTGTTCAAGAGCCCCACGCCGGACTATCCCACAGAGAGGAGTTTTGCCCCAAACCCGGGAGGCCCGGGCAGGCCGCCTCCAGAGGAGCCCCCGCAGACGCCATACTAAAAGCCAAAATGGCTGCCCCAAGGAAGCCCGCACCGCGCAGCTAGTGAGGGTTTGGGAACAAGATTCTGCGGGAAAGGGGGAGGAAGACTCTAACAGGAACCGTGGCCAGGACCAACGCCCCCGAGCCGCACAGGTAGGCTCCTCTGGTCTTCCCAAGCCCGCGGGATTCCAATGAGGGAAGTCCCGTCCCCACCCCCCACGGGGAACCCCGCTGCCGCAGCCGTCCCGCACACCGACCCCAGCGAGGTACCTGCAGTTCGGCTCGCTCCACCTCCCAGTGCGCCCGCTCCATCTCGAACCGAGCCCACTCGTGCTGGATGTAGTGCAGGATCCCTGGGATAGTGTACTGTTGCGGCCGGGACAGCTCGGGGCCTGCCGCTGGACCCGCTCCCTCGGCGGCAGGAGGACCCCCGCCGCCCGCCGCTCCATTCCCCCCTGGCGAAAGGCTCATGTTTCCCCCAGGTCCCAGCTGTTGCCGTGGAGGGGCCGCCATCCCCGGGCCGCCACCACTGCCTCCAGCGAGCTCGTCCATTGTGTGTGGGGCCCCGGCCGGGGCGCACGGCGAGACGCCGACAGCTGGGGGAAGGGCCGGGGAGGATGGCCCCGCACCGGCGGCGGGGCGGAGGCCAGCTGGGAGTGGGGCGGGGAGGGGATGGTTGCTGTATCCCTGCCGTGGGTCAGAGCAGGGAGCTGCCGGCCGCCGCCATTACAGTCCCTCCTCCATCTGCCCGTCTCACTCACTCACTTTAGGGAAAGCGGGGAGGGGGGGACCTGGAGGGACAGGGTAGAGGGGGCAGGGTTGGGAAAAGACAGACGTAGGGCCGTCGCTCCCGCGCAGCATGCCGGGTAGAGAACGCCGCTGCCGCAGCACGCCCAGTAGCCAGATAGAGTCCGGCCTCACCCTACGCAGGCGCACTGAGGACGCAGTCTGGCCTGCCGTAGGGAGCGGAGGAGCCCCGGCCCCGCCCCTAGACCCGCCCCCAGACCCGCCCCCAGACTTGCTGGGGTGCACAGCCTGCGGGACCGGTCAGAGGACCAGCGACTCCGACTTTCGGGAGCGAGTCGGTCTCAGGCCTCCCTCGCGCACTCAGCTCACAGGCGCCTTTACCCAGCCAAGAGTCTCAGCGCCCTGCCTGCCTTTGGAGCTTAGTTTTAACCTTGGCGGTCGCTCTGGCCAACTGCAGCCGGTCCCAGATTCCTTACGTTTCTTCTGCATTCCTTGCGTGTTTCAGGCAGTCCCAATGGGTCGGGCCTCTTTGCCTGTCACTCGCTCTTTCTCTGGTTCTTAGCACCAGTCAGCCGGATTCCGGGGCTTTGGGGACGCTGTCTTTGGGCAAATAGCCTGGATTCTTTCGGATGTGATAAATGATACCCCGTCAGCGTTTCGAGCCCCGGCTTTGGTCACAATTCTGTGCTCCCGGTCACTCGTCGCAACTTGTTCCACTTTGCCTCCCCTCTTTCTTATGGGGCGGGTTGTGTTTTGGGATTTGGAGAGAAGAGCAGGAGCTGTTTTCATTTTTTCCCCTTGAGAGATGGGGAGGTGATGAAAAAGTTTAGACCTGCATACTCGGATCACTAACTCTGCATGTTGTTGCAGGAGTGAGAACATTTGTTAAAGGAATTGTGGTAGAAATGCATTAGCCTCAGAAGCTTCTGAGGTGGTCCATTCTGTCCTAGTACAGTGTAAAAGAAAAAAGAATTTAGATATTTAAATGGTGGGTAGAAAAAGAAAGATAATTTTGAAGGAGACTGGTTGGACTTACAATTTAATGTTTAAAAAATGAATGAGCTTGCAAGTACCTAGTTCATACTAGAATCTTTTGATGGAAATAAAAAAATTCGTCGTGAATACAGTTTAGAATCCTAGATGTAGGGCTAAAGATGTTTTCTTGGGTCATTAAATATTGTTTGGGTGAATATAATATACACATAAAAAACAAGGTTAATCTTAAGTACCATGGTGTGTGTTCTTATGTAATTAGAGTGCCAGGAAACATTCTTAATGAACCATTAAGTTTCTGGAAGTTGATATAACTATAACCATTTGGTTGAAAAATAGAACAAAAATAATATTTAACAACAAAGTTCGAAAAAGAGGTTTAATAATTACAGCTGTGCAGTAAAATTGCATATAAAATTGGTTGCATCTTTTAATTTTCTCTACTAAAAATAAAACTTTTACTGTGGAATACATATAACCACACAGGGTGTAATTTATTTCTCTTTCTTTCTTTTCTTTCTTTCTTTTTTTTTTTTTTTTTGAATTTTTAATGAGTTTATTTGAGCCAAGCTGACAACACATGGCTAGGAGCAAGATCCCAAAGGCTTCCGCTCAGTGTGTAATTTCAAAGAGATAACGTAATACATCTTGTTCTATTGTATTTGCTCCCCTGTTATGGTTTGGAAAACAGATTGGACTTGCTACCCATGCTGCCATGTTTTATTTAAACACAAAATTAGGTCTTTGGTTACAGTATTATTAAGGACTATTTCTCCATTTTAAATCGATTAAATCACTCTGCTTATGAGGCCCCCTGTTCCTTTTTGAGGGGACTCTTAGCACATAGAAGTTCAGAAATCCCATGCTGCCTGAAGACCTGTGTACAACAAGACACATTTCTGAGAGAGTGTGATTGACCTCCATGATGTTGGCATCAAGAGAAGCAGAGCTTGCACACTTATATTCCCCACTAGTATCTCAAATTCAAGTAAAAGCTAGGTTTATAATCATTTTTCCCCTCCCCATTTACCTTCAGAAAACCAAAAAACTCTTTTCCTCTTCTATTATCTATCTTAAGTGGCACTACAGCCAAACCTGAGACCTGGCAGTCATTCTAGTACCTTTATTTCACTCAGCCCCCACATCTAATCTCTTTCTCTGTAACATCTTTCATATCTATTCCATTATCTTCATTGGTGTTTTAGTTTAAACCTTCCTACCTCTGTTCTTCTCCCTCCCAGTACCACTGATGGCCTGAGTGATCTTCAAAAGGTGGATCTGATCCTATCATTCTCTGCTTAAAATCTTCAGTGATCACCAGATTTAGAATAAAGCCCAAATTTTAGCACAGCATATAAAGATCCTTCAGATTCTAGAGGCTCCTATCCCTTAATCTATCATCACTCCATCGTGGCACCCCGCTCTTCTCTCCAGCCAAACTGCACTGTCCTCAAGTGTGTAATGATGTTTCATTCCACAGGAATTTAACACATGTTGTACCCAGCAGTGCCTTTCCCATACCTTCTTTCAAAACTCAGCTCAAGTATTACTTCTCTAAGAAGCTTTTCAAATCTCTGAAATAGTTAGAGACCCCGACCTAATAGTATCTCATGCTTATCTCCTATTACTTACTACAATATTTAAATTGTCTATATGCTGGTCAGAGAAACTCCTACTAGCACCTGCACATAGCAGGTACTGCAGGTCTTTGCTTCACTTATTTATTTATTTATTTATTTATTTTAATTTCTTGACTGGCCACTATTTTTCAGATACTCTGCTAGTCCCTGATGATCCACTGTGAACCAAGCAGACATAGTCCCTGCCTTCAGACTTTCCAGTCTAGTTTTAGGCAAATTACTTAACGTGAACCACCCTGCCTTCCTTAAGATTATGTTTAATAATTACTTAACCTGAACATCTAGCTGGCTATGTCCAGATGGATCTTAAAACTGTCTCTTTTAAAATTTCTACTGTGCTATTTGAAGAATTCCTATTGACCATGTCTACATTCATTTCAATCATGTTTTTATTAATGTCAATGCAAGTTTTGGCCATGTTTTTCCCAGACCATAGTCATTTATCTGCAGGGCTGCCTCCTAGAGGGGAGCACCCATGACTCCCTTGTACAAAGCTGTACCGCCAGTGTCTGGGACGTTGAGATCCCCAATAAACATTTGATGAATAACTTAAATTTAGACTAAACTAATATGATTTTTTCTTCCCCTTAATCACTTTTATTAATTTTTGCTACCAACATACCAGTTATCTTTTACAGTTCAATGACCAGAACTGCCCCAAGTATTAAAAGTAAAAGACACCAAGATTTTCTCCTTTGTTGAGAGAATATTTTTTTACACTCTTGACGTTGGCCTTTGTGTCCATGACTCCTGAGGACGCTCTGCAGTGATCTCCTAGAATCTTGCCTTTCATAGGTCATGAGCTTTCCCAGGATATTATCGCCTACAATTCACCTAACTGGAACTCCCTCCCTGCACTGTGGCTGAGTCATTTCCTTTTCAGTCATCCTTGACGCTTCCTATTTGTTCTGTCCTTTCTTCAGTCTGTCCATCCCTCCTGCACTCCCATTTACTCTCTCAGTTTCAGTATACTACTGATGATCGTCACGAATGCCTTTATCTTTAACCAATTTAGAATTTTAGGGTTTTTTTTTCTTTTCTATTAGCTAATCTTAACACCTGTGTGCTTGTTCTTTCTGATCAAAAAGGGACCTGTTATATATTATGTACATATATTATGTCCAGGGGTGTCCAATCCTCGGCCCAGGATGGCTATGAATGCAGCCCAACACAAAATTGTAAATTTAGTTAAAACACTATGAGATTTTTTTTGTTTTTGTTAGTGTTTGTGTATTTAATCTGTGGCCCAAGACAGTTCTTCTTCCTTCAGTGTGGCCCACAGACTCCAAAAGGTTGGATATCCCTAACTGCAAAAGTATGTTAAGGAAGTCCAGGCTTTTAAGTAAGTTCAGAGTCGTTAACACTCAGATGCCTTCTTCCCGATTATTATAAAACCTGATGTACAAAGAGTTTCGACTTTGTCTTTGAGAACTATATAATGCCCTGTAATTACTTTCCTGAACATCCAGCTGGTTATGTACCTGACATTCTTCTAACAAAGAGCTTAAACTGGTTCACAAACACTTAGGTAATCTAGTCATCTTTCTGCGTCATCTGAAAAAGTTGTGACAAGTATTCATACCTCCATGGAGAGGAGAGAAAGCTGAGATAAGAGTTCTGGATCACTTCCACAGTCCCTGCATAGAACAGAAAGTGGTTTCCACTCATACGTCAGTGAATGTATATGCATTTGGAAATAAGAAATGAAGTCTCCCTTCACTATTCTGACTCCTACTGTCCTACCATGGACTCAATATTATTGTCTGTGGTTCCCAAATTGTATGCACTTTTTGTGCTCTGATTTTTTTTGTCTTCTTTAAATTTTATTTTTAATTGTTGACATATAATATTAGTTTCAAATATACAACATAGTGATTAGATAGACATTTATACACCTTACAGAATGATCTTCACATCATTTGTACTTTTGAAATCCTTTTTAGGTAGGTTTTTTTTTTTTTAATTGATTTTAGAGAGAGGGAAGAAGAGGGGAGGGAGGCAGAGAGAGAAAAACACCGATTTGTTGTTCCACTTCTTGATACATTGATTGGTTGTTTTTTTTCATATGTGTGCTGACCACAGATTGAGCCTGCAACCTTGGTATATAGGGAGGACACTCCAACTGAGCTACCTGGCCAGGGCCTTTTTAGGTAGCTTGAGGTGATTCAGTCACTTGGGAAAACTATGTAGTGTTTACATTTATAAATATAGAGAAGAAATGAATATTAGAGCCCAGAGGAAGATCTTTGAGAAGAGCTGGCATGTGTTCAAAAACCAAAGAAGCAAACTGTATAATGCAGATGGAACAAAAAAGGAGGAGTCCGCTTTGATCAGCACCATGGTTTGACCTGCCAAATAAGATCAGATATCTACTTCTCATTACAGTAGTTGCCTGTGGCTAAGAAAATTGTAGAAATACATTGCAGGGCACTTGAACTA